GTGATATTGTTGATTGTGAGCAGACAGTACTCCAAGCAGCTCCAGAAGTCATGGGAGGAAATTTTGGTAAAATCATTAAGAGTGGTAAAGTAGCATTTGGATCTAAGTTGCGGAGTTGTGATTCTTATTCTATGTGGAGTAAGTATTTCTCATTGTGTACATTGAGTCAGAGTGTATGTAGGATGTTGAAATCTACTTTTATTCTGCAGGAGCCATTTTCTTGTGAAGTAATGGACTGTGGGACATCTTTGTCAAGCCTTGTGGTTGAGCAGAGAGAGTTTACTCAAGTAGGTTGTGCATCCAGTTCTGAGGAAGTGGTGAGTTATGCTAGAGCAGTGTCTCTATATTCAGATCCAGTTAATTTTGATGCACGAGTGATAAAAGTGTATGTTCCACTCAAGTGTGGTGTTGATTTTCAGAATCATATTGTGGGTGAAGGATTAAATCATACTGGGGAGCAGATGTTTGAGGCTCCAGGTGTGCAATTCAAGTTGGGGGATAAGGTTATCCTACCTAGAGTTAATTATTGTGAAGGGTTACAGATTATCCTTGGGTGTTTCCCAGGTAATCTGCTGTTCATCTTCAAGATGTTAAGACCCTTAAACCTCTTGGATGATTGGTTGTCATCAGACGTAAATCACTTGGGAAGTGATGGTGAGGATTGTAACGTTTTCGGCATGTTTTATTTAGTCTCTTGGAAGACTAGACGGTTGATGAATGTGTGTGTTGTGTTCAAGTTCACCATCAGAGGGTGTGAACTTGTCTTGAGAGTTATGATTGAGATATGGTGCCTAGGCATATGCCTGTTTTCTTTCACTGATCGTTATGACAGAGTTATGAGGCAATTGATTTCTGTGTTCCTTATGGATCATCTGAGTCAGTTCGATCAGGTAGTCTTTGCACTTATCTTGGGTTGTATTTCTTGGTTGGAAGGTCAAAGGTTTGCTAAGTCGGTGTCTTGTGTTTCGGAAGGTTCTATGAATGGGAAAATCTTATGCATAATTGTGAGGTTTAATGCTAATTTCTCTAATTTTAGTATCCATTGGGCGAGAGTATGTGTTCCACAGAGGATCTAGAGTGATGAAGAGCAGATGTCTGTGTCAGAGCATACCCAGGAGAAGTCCCAAATCTACTCAACATCCAGTCAGCTTCAATTAAGCAGTTCAGCTCCAGAAAAAGGGAGTAATGGAAAATCGAGGCTGTCTTGGAAAAATTCACCATGTGGAAAAGGAATCACATGGAAAAATGAAACTGATCTTGGAGAAATAGTAGAAACATATGAAAAGCAAAATTGCCATGATAACTGTGTGAAAGCAGCTACCTTTATTGACAATTCTATTCATGCTACTAATGATACTGTTGTAGATAGGTGTGTGAAATATGATCTAAAACAAAGTGAAATAAATAAGATAGTACCTTGGAGAGATAAATTTGCATACTCCAGTGACACATATGTAGAACATAGTCATAAGACTGAAATTTCTGAGTTTCCTGTAAGACTATATTTGGAGTGTTTTCATTTTTGTCCAGAAATGTGTTCTTATTACTTTTACATGTTTGGTGTAATTAATACCATAAATCTCAAGTGTCATACATTTTACTTTGAAAAAATGCCATTGATCTTCAATCTATTGCATTTTTTTTCTTGGAGGTGGAAGTGTTACGTACTCCTAGCAGAATACGTATATAAATTTAAAATAAATTTTATTTTATTTTATCATTGCATGTATATGTACACACATTGTGTTTTTGGGTAAATTGTCGTATGGTTTGGCAGCGTCAGTGGACAGGAGCGCGGTTGCCTTTGCACAAGTCTATTACCTGATTGATACGGGAAAGCTGGACCTGTTCAGTTTGAGAGTTCCAGATGTCACTTTTATTTAGTTAGGAAATGGTTCATATACTATAATTAAACAGGTGGCATTATACTTATATATTTTGTAAGTAACTATTATATGTAACTTGCATTCTTATGTGTTTTGAGAACAAGTGGTTGTTCAATTAGTTTAAAATATTAAAAAGTCCTTAGTTTCCATCCCTCATCCTGGGATGAGGCAGACGGGAGGTGAGAATGTGGGTGGCGACAGAGCGAGAGTTCAGTAGCTTCGGGGAACCAGGAGGAGTAACATGTGGGAGATAAGTCTGTTATATTTTGTTGTGCCATAGTTACTATTATATATTACGTGCCATGACAATACTTTCATATATTCTATAAGTTAACTTTACCATCTGTGTTTTATATTATACTGTTTTGAATATATCTAATTAATATGGTGTATCTATTCTTCAGTCCTAAACGAAGATTGTTATTTTTGTGCTCATTACTTATCAAGGGGTTATACTGGTGATTCGCTATTGAGAACAGCAGTTGTCTCGTATCCCTAGACGTAATTAAAGTTTGGCTGCTGTAGGGTCACGAGCCGTAACGAACGATAGGTAACATGGCTCATCCATACCTGACTATTCTAACCATCTGTTCCTTTGCTGAGGCATTGGTAAGATTTATCTCGGGGACCTACTAGAACGGCCTCTATGAAATCAAACATTGAATGTAATGAAACAACCATTTCTGGTGGGCCCCTCAGAAGCACTCTGTACCCACTCTGGTTCCTCATTTTCCTTGAGAGTTTGTTCAAGTTGTTTATGAGTTGGGTGATGGCCAGACTCAGGCTGCATGTAAATTAAGTATATGGGTCACTATTTGTTGATTTGTTATGTTATATAAAATAATATTTGTTAACTAGTTAAACAACAAATATTGTTTGGCTAGTTAACTACAATTTTTTTTTAATTGTTGCTTGGTTTGATGCCTTTTTAATTTTTGCTAATAATTTTCTCCAGTCCCAAGCTGCCCACTCACCTCACAAAAAGAGCCAGATTTTGGTCCCAGTAACCTCAATTGGGTATCAGAGGTCTGGTGTAGTCCCCTATGACTTGGTTGCCCCTGTGCTTTAGCTCTGGGAGCTACCAAGTGCACCACCATATAGACATTTCATTACATTTAGTACTTAATTTTAACTTGTGTTCAAAAAGTTTAAATGATAATTTCAGGTTGTGTTAAAGTATACAAATTTCCTCGAGCTGATGCTCCTGATGAGCCCCTACATGAGTCGGTTAGACTCATAAAACTCAAGCACAATGATGAAATCAAAACAGAAGGTGCAACTCTCAAGTAAGAGTTCACATGTTCTGCTTCTGCCATGCTGTGACTGCTGGGTCAGGGACACCTTTGACCCTGAGTTATTTGGTGTTTATTTTTTCCATGTGCTCCTGGCTCCCCATTTCTCTATTGGTGTCCAAAGGGGTCAGGAAGTGATTGCTCTGCAATTGAAGATTCTATTTTGCAGTGGCCTAGGTTGTGTGCCCAGTTGGATGCTCAGGTGCTGCCCCAGTTGGTGTTAGGTATTTGGATTTGGGGATGTTAGTCAACTTGACCTTGGTTCAATCTGCAACTCCTCTTCCTTCTTCCAAATTTATTATGTGAATTTGAAGAATTTTAAGTTAGTTTTTAAATCAGGCAAAACTAGGGCACTTCTGACTAGTTGAGGAAAATACTGGTATCTAAAATGAAAACAGACTTTACAACACTTGCCCAGATGGAACATAATATGGAACAGAGAACTAGCTGTCTGTGCTGGTCTATGTATTTTGAACATGACCTTGGCCTGCAATATGCAGCGTACATTCTGGATTGTTATACAGAAATTGCTTAACTAACCTTTTGCATTGGACTCAACAGTGGAAAAAAGTAGTTTGGAGGGGTATTAGGTGGTTTCATAGAAATACTTGCTATCTAGAATTGTACGGATTAATTGAGCTGCAACAGACATAACAAAAATATAATCTTCAATATGAGGTTTTGCAACCTCTTGAAAGAAAATACAAATTTCCTACCAACTTAGGGATGTCTAATTTTCTTCAAGCAGTTGCTTGTTTTCTTGTATGTTTACTTATTGATTTTTTCTTAGTTTTGTTTTTTATATCTAATTCTCTTGGTCTCTTGGTCTCATAGTGAACCAGATTCTTGTCCTGGCTTTCGTCCTGGCTTCCAGTCATGATAGATTGGTCTTGGAGTTGTGGTGTATTAAGCTAAGGCTTTGTGGAACCAATGTAAAGCTTGGGAAGTTATTGGAAGCCCTGTCAGAAAATGGTATTCAATTATATTCAACACTGATTTGTGTTACATAAAGAGGTGATACATTTCAAAATAGCACACAAGCTAAGGATTAAGGGTTCACTTATTTTAATATTGATTCCAGATAATTTCATAGCATCACAGATGTTTATACTTCCTCTTTCAAATTTCCAATAGAGTTCTTCATACTCCAGGCCATACCACTGACCATGTTGTATTAGCAGTGGAGGAGGAGGGGGCAGTGTTTAGTGGTGACTGTATATTAGGGGAAGGAACGGCAGTATTTGAAGATCTTCATACATATATGGCTTCACTAAAGGTAAGTGGAAGTGGAGTTTTTAATTTTATACAGTATATGAACCCTTATGGCAAGGATTCTGCAATAAATGTTATAATTGGTTATTCTTATGATTTGATTAGGGAATGTATTTGTGTGATGCAAAAGAAAAGCTTGGAAAAAATTGTGTACCCAGGGGGGCCTGACAGGTGAGTAGACAGCGCTTTGGATTTGTAATCCTGAGGTTCCGGGTTTGATCCCCGGTGGAGGCGGAAACAAAATGAGCAGTTTTTTTTCACCTTGATGTCCCTGTTACCTAGCAGTAAATAGGTACCTGGGAGTTAGACAGCTGGTACGAGCTACTTCCTGGGGATGTGTAACAAAAAAAGAGGAGGCCTGGTCGAGGACTGGGCCGCAGGGACGCTAAGCTCCAAAATCATTTCAAGATAATCCCTTTTGGGTGTGAGGGCCTCATTATTGAGAGGGTGACCAGGTAATGTACTAATGTACACAGGTTTTGCAAAAACTTTCAACAACTGTGACCATGATGTTATTGTAAACAAAATGTGCACAAAAGGAATTACAGTATCTACTCAATTTAATGACCTATATGGGGGCCATACCCAAGTCGTTAATTCCAGGACTCTACTAAATCCTTAGGTTTTAAAATGTCGATATCTTTTTAGTTATATTCTGGAGGGCGAGTGGGCAGGATGTCTGGCAGGATGATACTGTCGCCTCTTATCGTGCGGTGAGCCGCTCCATCTTACGTTCGTTGACACTTCTTCAGCCCTGTTTCACAGGTTTTCTCACGCTTGATTTTACCTCCGGCCTACTCATGCACCACCTGAGCCTGACTGGTCTCTGGACCGGGTTCTTTCTTTTCTCTCTTCTGCACATTTTTGGGTGGCTCGTTTAGTCTGGGATTGTGTTTTGAAGGTAACATTTTTAGCTTTATTTGATCTCCAGTTGTCAGGCTGGTGAGCTTCATGCTCTTCCATGGTGCCGGGGGTTGTTCCTTTGTTCGGTTAAACCCGGCTCCTTCTTTTCTGGCGAAGAATGAGTCGTCATGCTTCCAGAGCATGTGGATTTTAGCTGTGGATGCTTGGTTGGTTCCACCTGGAAGGCATCATGTGCTTGGTTCGATGGCAGTTTTACGCCACTACCTTCATGCTACTGGTTCTGCTTCAGTATATTGGTTATGGGTTTTGATTTCCCCTGGTTCCCTATTCCAGGGCTTGTATTTCTCAGGTCATCTGCAGTGTCATTAAGTCATTGCCTTGTGGTGTGGGGTGAGTCGTCTTTGGTGGTGCACGAGCAATTTCCCAAGTATTCGGACTGCATGCGCCTAGTGTCACCTTCCCTAGGTGACCCTAGGGAAGGTGTAAGTACTGGCCTTGGGGCTTGGAGTTATCTTCCACAAGTCACCTTGGGGTCTACCTCTGTTGGTGTTTAGCTACTCGGTAATTGACCACCCTGAGTGTGCTGGGAGGTTTTCTTCCTCTCTTGTTTACCTTAGGGTAAGGGGTAGTTTGCACTGGTAGCGGCACAGGGTACTGAGCAGGTAGTTATCACTTATAATGGCAGTCGGCTCTCTTAATCCTTAAATGGCGCCTATTTAGCATGTGTCACCCACAGGCGCATACCCCAAAAAAAAAAAATAGCTTTTTCTTCTAAACCTGTTAATTTGTGTTCACTGATCATGGGAAAAATAATAAAAAAATCGTAAGTGGCATATATTGCCCGCTATAGGGTGGGGAAGTCTGGCCAAAAACCAGGTGCTGACTCAGCGTGCGTCCCAGGCGGTCTGTTGCTCGCCAGCTGTCATGCCGGAGTTGCCACAGAGATAATTACCTAATTATTTCAATGTCTCTGATTGATTTTTTGTAATTTTTTTTGCTGTAATATTATTCAATAGTGTGTAGTGTGATATATTTATATAATAAAATGAGTGAATCATCACTGTACTCAAAAATATGGTGTGCATATTGTTGATTCAATTATGTTCATCAAACAGTGAACAAATATTTTGTTGGTTATTACACTACACAGGTTATATATAAGTATCTGCACGTTTTGTTCACCATAACGAACCACTAAGTTGCTATTATGAGTCAAAAAGTAACGAGAAGTGACCGCCACACACCAGCCAGCCACTCGCTACCACTCACTCCCTCAACACCTCACTCGCCCACATTCTCCTCTCACCATACTGTTTTTGCTTTTATTCACTATATACAGACGTCATATATAAGTATCTACATTCGTGTTCACCATAACGAACCACTAAGTTGGTATGCTGAGTGGCAGTGGCAGCCAGTGGCAACCTGCCACTGGCTGCCACTCCCTCCCTCCCTCGCCTCACCTGACTTGCCACCATTCTCCTCCCACCATACTGTTTTTGGTTTTATATACAGACGTTATATTTAAGTATTTACATGTTTTGTTCACCATAACTGTACATCTAAGCTTGTATGGTGAGTAAAGGCACAAAGACGTAGCTACTCACACAGTCAGCTGGTGGCGGCCGCCCTCAAGGCCAGATGCACTAATATTTCTCCTCCAACAATACTGTTTGTGGTGTTATTACGCTATATACACACATTATATATAAGTATCTACCTGTTTTTTTCACCATATTTGTACAAGTAAACTGGTATGGTGCCCAAAGACCATAGTGGTCACCAGTAAACATGATAAGTCATGCAGACGACCTTAAGAAGCACATCAACAAACTGGAAAAGGTGCAAAGACATGCTACTAAGTGGCTCCCAGAACTGAAGGGCAAGAGCTACGAAGAGAGGTTAGAGGCATTAAATATGGCAAAACTGGAAGACAGAAGAAAAAGTGGTGATATGATCACTACATACAAAATAGTAACAGGAATTGATAAAATCGATAGGGAAGATTTCCTGAGATTTGGAACTTTACGAACAAGAGGTCATAGATATAAACTAGCTAAACACAGATGCCGAAGAAATATAAGAAAAATCACTTTCGCAAATAGAGTGGTAGACGGTTGGAACAAGTTAAGTGAGAAGGTGGTGGAGGCCAAGACCGTCAGTAGTTTCAAAGCGTTATATGACAGAGTGCTGGGAAGACGGGACATCACGAGTGTAGCTCTCATCCTGTAACTACACTTAGGTAATTACGCTTAGGTAATTACGACGCACCAAAATGGCGGCTCCCAACCTACTCCTATTGCTGTTATTACACTCTATACACACACATTATATATAAGTATCTACATCTGTGTTCACCATAGGGAACCACTAAGCTGGTATGGTGAGTGCAGTCAATAAAAGGTGGCCACACACAGTCAGAAGACAACGCCACCACCCTCCCTCCCACAGCATTACTCCTCCCTCCATGGAGCACTGCGCTAAATATCACCACAATCCTGCTATTATCAGAACCCTGGTCAGTTTTATCACAGTCAGGGGTCTTCTGTAATAATATCATTGCTAAATAATAGCAAGAACATGTATATTATGGCATTTTTAGGCGATGCTGTGGTCACAAGCTGAACAGCAGTGCTGTGAGCTCATGCTGCGTGCATCAAGCTTGGTAGCTCACTCAATACTGAGGGCACTCACACCCAGGAATTTGGCCCACGATTTAAAAAAAAAATGGTGTCTGTTTACAAGAGCCCTGATGAAGGTGTGGTGAACCCCGTGTATCCGTGGGCCGTTTAAATCGTACTCCAAAACATCATATGATGCTGAGCGCAAGTTACTGCAAGTCACTCAACGCATCATATGATGTCTTGCGCAACTAAAGGGTTAAACCTGGGTATGTTATCCTCTTGCGGGGTTTTCTTTTGGTTTTGTTTTCCTGCCTGGTGGGGGCGGGGGTCTGCCTTTGGTTTGTTGCCCCTATCTGGCCTTTAATTTTTTCTGTGTTTCTGGGTGGTACCCTCTGCTTGGCCTCCCGTGAGTGGACATGTCCCGGGGGGTTCAGCTTTTGGCGGTTTGTTGGTATACTTGGGCGCCACTTAGCAGTATCCTGCCTGGGCTTACCCTTAGCAATAACAGTTAAAGGACCCTGGAAAACCCCACGGGGGCTCAAGGGGTCCTATGGATGTGGACCCCTGGGTCCCCCCTCTCGCTTTGTGCAAGTTTGAGGGTTGCTCTGTCCTCTTGTCTCAGGGCGACTCTCATTGTTTTTGCCTCTGCCATGGTGCTTGTTGGGTCGGTGACACCCAGAGTCCTGCGAGCATGGTTGATTATTTGTGACTCGATTCACCCATTCACCTGATGACATTATCCGGGTGCAGGCGTCTCCGGCATTGCATGCTAGGCTCAGTTGCTGCAACGTGCTAGGTTGTTTGCTACCCCAGATGCCCCTTGGCTGCCACGCTTTGCTTGTAGGGATCTGGATTTGGGGGTGTTGGATGCTTCGGCCTTGGTTCAATCCGCACCCCCTCGTTCTTCCCCCTGCTGTGGTGCATTCTGGTCCCTCCTCCTGCTTCTGGTTCAGAAGCGTCTGAGGGCTTCAGGGTTGGGGCAGTGTTTAGCTGGTTTTGAGAGACTGGCAGTCTCGGGGGATGCCCCATCCGGGGTGGCGATGGAGGCGCATTTTATTGAGGTAGTCTTGTCCTTTCTCTTGTGGCTGTTCAGGACCGTTATTTTATGCCGCATCTTGTCACCTTGTCTTGTGTGGTGGTGGTGGATCCGCTACGGCTTGCTTTCAGTTTTGATGTTCCTTCTGCACCGTTTCACGAGCTGTCTCGGGCATTGTTTCACCTCCGGCCTGCTCATGCGCCATCTGAGGCATCCTGGTCTTGGACACGGTGCTCTCTTCTCTCTCTCTCTCTCCCCCTAGGTTTGTTGTGGCCCCTTCGGTTCAGGATTGTTTCTCAGAGGTTTCTGCTCCTTTGAGTTCTGGTGATAGGTTTGTTCATTTGCAGCCATCTCTTCTTTTCTGGCGAGGTTGGGACGGCTGTTTTCCAGAGGGATCCCTGGGGTTGTTGATGCTTGGTTGGTTTGGCCGGGGGTGCATCATCTTGTGTCTGGTTGTGGCTCTCAGCCATTGCCTGCGTGCCACGGCTTCTGTGGCCCTGGACACGCTTTGGGTTGACCTGGGTTCCCATTGTCCCTGTTCCAGGGTTCGGGTCTCTCAGGTCATCCATGGGGGTCATTGGTGTTGCCAGTTGTCTTGCTTTCGGGTTTCGGGCGCATGGTTTCTACCTCTCGGGTTTGTCCCTCTTTTGTCTTTGTCTTTGGGTAGTTAGCTCCGGGGAGCTGAAGGGGTTTCCTCCAGAAAACCAGTGTTGAATGCAATGAAACTCCATTTTCTGGGTGAGACCCCGGAAGCTCCCTGGCATCCCTCCCTCCCCCTGTTCTGCGGCTTTTTCACATGTTTTGACATTCAACCTCAGAACTGAAGGTGTGGGGTTGCCGGCGCGAGGGATCTGGGGCTCCGCCTTTCTCTTCCCGTAGAGGGGGGAACTGCGCAGATGGCGGCATGGCAAGTGGTGACATCATGCTCGTTTGCTTGTTTTTATTTGGGGAGTTCTGTCCACTCGTTTGACTTTCAGTAATAGTTCCAATCAGAATAGAGGTTTGTTTTGGGATGCTTACCTTTCTGGTTGCCTGACCTGGTCGATGGCAGACATAGAATGCTCCAAATCACTTGTGCTATTCTATAGGCCATTGCTCTTCATGCCTCTCTGAGGAGGCCAGGCTCTGGCCTGCGGTCCCTGGTAGGCCTATAAACTCCATTCACACTGATGCCAAAGTCTAATATATTACATATCAGTCTGGATAGCTGCAGGGAGCCTCAGGGTCTCGCCCAGAAAATGATGTTTCATTACATTCAATGCTGTTGTTTTTTCAGGTTAATCATGAACTTACAACCAAAGGTTATCTTTCCCGGCCATGGCCCGGTGATAGATGATCCAGTGATCAAAATTCAGCATTATATCGACTACCGCAATGAAAGAGAGAGCCAGATCCTTGACGTTCTTGCTAGCAATCCAACTAAATTTTTATCATCCATGGAAATAGTCAAGCTTGTTTACAAGGTCAGTAAAGCAGTTGCACAAAAACAATTATTGGTACTTTTCATGTTAAATGATTAGAACTATTTGTTTCATCACTCCAAATCCAACCTTAGGTTATTCAATTGATTGCTTTGTATATTTCGGTCAAATCATGTTATTTGTAAAATATTTATATGAAGTATAGGATCCATCAGGAGAAGGTTGAACAGTACTATTTGAAAAGGAGACAAAACAAAAAAGCAACGAAACAGTAAGTCACTTTGACATGAAAAATATTAATTAAAATATAAGTATTAAAAGGATAAATTACTTAAGTGTAATATCTTCATCTTTATGCATCATTGTAATTACTGCCAACACACTATCTGAGTTCCACAAGAGTATCTTAGTTGTTTCGAAGATTAGGTGTTTAGTAGTTCATGTGACTGTCACAATTATAATGTCAATCATTCACACTTTCAGTTTCTCATTCCTTTATATCAAGAAAAGAATTAAGAAGTGTGTGTATAAGTTTTTAGTCAGCCTACTTCTGATTAGATAAAGACGGTACACTTCCCGACCTAACTGTCGGACCTCACTCTTTTGTTTATTCCATCTATTCGTTTGCTGTCTGGTCCCAGGCGGTGCTTCCACTCATGTGAGGCCTATGTACTCTCACAGCTGGCCACGTCGTCACTGTCTGGTCCCAGGCGGTGCTTCCACTCATGTGAGGCCTATGTACTCTCACAGCTGGCCACGTCGTCACTGTCTGGTCCCAGGCGGTGCTTCCACTCATGTGAGGCCTATGTACTCTCACAGCTGGCCACGTCGTCACTGTCTGGTCCCAGGCGGTGCTTCCACTCATGTGAGGCCTATGTACTCTCACAGCTGGCCACGTCGTCACTGTCTGGTCCCAGGCGGTGCTTCCACTCATGTGAGGCCTATGTACTCTCACAGCTGGCCACGTCGTCACTGTCTGGTCCCAGGCGGTGCTTCCACTCATGTGAGGCCTATGTACTCTCACAGCTGGCCACGTCGTCACTGTCTGGTCCCAGGCGGTGCTTCCACTCATGTGAGGCCTATGTACTCTCACAGCTGGCCACGTCGTCACTGTCTGGTCCCAGGCGGTGCTTCCACTCATGTGAGGCCTATGTACTCTCACAGCTGGCCACGTCGTCACTGTCTGGTCCCAGGCGGTGCTTCCACTCATGTGAGGCCTATGTACTCTCACAGCTGGCCACGTCGTCACTGTCTGGTCCCAGGCGGTGCTTCCACTCATGTGAGGCCTATGTACTCTCACAGCTGGCCACGTCGTCACTGTCTGGTCCCAGGCGGTGCTTCCACTCATGTGAGGCCTATGTACTCTCACAGCTGGCCACGTCGTCACTGTCTGGTCCCAGGCGGTGCTTCCACTCATGTGAGGCCTATGTACTCTCACAGCTGGCCACGTCGTCACTGTCTGGTCCCAGGCGGTGCTTCCACTCATGTGAGGCCTATGTACTCTCACAGCTGGCCACGTCGTCACTGTCTGGTCCCAGGCGGTGCTTCCACTCATGTGAGGCCTATGTACTCTCACAGCTGGCCACGTCGTCACTGTCTGGTCCCAGGCGGTGCTTCCACTCATGTGAGGCCTATGTACTCTCACAGCTGGCCACGTCGTCACTGTCTGGTCCCAGGCGGTGCTTCCACTCATGTGAGGCCTATGTACTCTCACAGCTGGCCACGTCGTCACTGTCTGGTCCCAGGCGGTGCTTCCACTCATGTGAGGCCTATGTACTCTCACAGCTGGCCACGTCGTCACTGTCTGGTCCCAGGCGGTGCTTCCACTCATGTGAGGCCTATGTACTCTCACAGCTGGCCACGTCGTCACTGTCTGGTCCCAGGCGGTGCTTCCACTCATGTGAGGCCTATGTACTCTCACAGCTGGCCACGTCGTCACTGTCTGGTCCCAGGCGGTGCTTCCACTCATGTGAGGCCTATGTACTCTCACAGCTGGCCACGTCGTCACTGTCTGGTCCCAGGCGGTGCTTCCACTCATGTGAGGCCTATGTACTCTCACAGCTGGCCACGTCGTCACTGTCTGGTCCCAGGCGGTGCTTCCACTCATGTGAGGCCTATGTACTCTCACAGCTGGCCACGTCGTCACTGTCTGGTCCCAGGCGGTGCCTCCACTCATGTGAGGCCTATGTACTCTCACAGCTGGCCACGTCGTCACTGTCTGGTCCCAGGCGGTGCCTCCACTCATGTGAGGCCTATGTACTCTCACAGCTGGCCACGTCGTCACTGTCTGGTCCCAGGCGGTGCTTCCACTCATGTGAGGCCTATGTACTCTCACAGCTGGCCACGTCGTCACTG